GAGCCGCTCTTTCATTTGAGCCAAAAAAAACATTCATATCTTGTCTGAGATCTCTGTTACAAACTCTGGTCATCAACTCTGGTTTTCAGTTGAAATTGGAATTGTTAATATACACAATAATAGGATTGCATTGACGATTTTTTCTCAACTCGCAAAAATCTTCAAACAATTTGCTATCGATTGGTGATAAAATTTTTTGGAAATAATGAAATAGAGGGGATACGCCTTTTTTTTCAGAGGTGATTTTTCAAAAATTTCTTTTAAAAAAAGTACTAACTAGCAAATGTTTTTTATTAGCTCGCAATGTTTTTCAAAACTACTTCAATGAGGAAAAAAATAAAAATTTGGAATATCTATACATGAGGGGCTAATTAATCGGATCTAGCTAGCGTATAACATCATTATGAAGCGCGTAAGAATTTGATTTTTCAAAAATGATTAGTTCACCCTACAAAACAATTGGATTGAAATTTTCTAAGCAAGATTTACGTATGTGAAGAGAAAAAAAACACAAGAACTCTATTTACTCGTAATTTATCATAGATCTACTAGATTAATAATTCTTTCGACTTACGGAGTTGCAATGACCCAATCAAGCTTCGCTTGTTCGCTTTATCGATAAATGAAAACAAAAAACGTAAAAAGGATGAATACTTCGATCTCTTTCGAATCTAATCGACAATCGCACGTTGGAGAATGTGCAAAAATGATTAGTGTGTTTAATTCAGCAGTGAAGGAGATGAAGGTCGATGAGTCCAAATCAATTTGTCTCTTGACATTCTCATAATACTTCCTGATTAATTTTTCCAAGTTATTCATTTAGTTTTTCACACTTTTATTAGAATATCTTTGGAACTAATGGTTTCAGAGCAAATTTGCAATAAAATTCTTCTCCTAAAGCCACTAGTTCGCGAGGTACCAATGAAGTAAAGAACGTAAAATAGCTGGACTCATCTCTCTCCATCAATTCTCTCCAGAATTGTTATTGCAATTGTTTAAATAATCTCAAATATTTACCTGAGTAACACCTGGAGTACCCTCAATCTGGGACTGTCCATAGGAATCCACTCATCAAACCTCGAGTTCCATTTATCGAAATGTATCAACACTTCTCGATCCACCCAGTCTGTTTCGACAACTCGTGCTGCATACCTGAGTGAATATCAATTAATTTAAACAATTCCTTACTCTAGAGGAACCTTTCGCCAACTAAACATCCTCTTAGACTGAATGAAACATCAGATGAGCCCATTTTTCTCCAAAATTTTTTTGAGAAATCAAAAATTTTGAATCTGTAAAAATCCAGTTGAAATTATATTCTCGATTTGTTGAATATTGCAAAGGGAGTTCAAACAATCGGATTTGACGAATAGAATCAAAATATATGAAAAAATCTGATGCAACTCTAATTTCACAAACATAAAATTGATATAATTTCACTCATTAAAATACCCTACTGTCCGTTTCAGAAATAGAGGACTGCAAGTTAACCACGCATAACGTCGGTAAAAAAATCGTAGAAATATGAAGGAACTTTTAATTAGTGACTTGATTAGTTATCTCATCCTATGCGGAGGCTCATCTCTTTAAATTAATTCTTATTAATTGTATTGTAAGGTAAAGGTGAACAAACGCGCTCTTTTAGGGGGCCGGGAAAATCCACGAACTTTGCCGTTTTCTTATATTTACAAAAAATGATGGCAGAAATATGCTGATTTTTTTAATGATTGTTACAACATTCAAATGTACACTTGTGAGGAAAAAATTTAAAATTTTTAAAAATTATTGATTTTTTAAACGAAACTGTCAAGCACGGTTATCGTAGATTTTACAATGGTATCCGTTTAACAAAAATCTCACTGTTTAGGGAATGGAAAATTGTAGAGATTTTATTGATCATTCAGTCTGTACACAGAGTAATTGATTTTATAAAGAAAAAATTAATTTATGAAAAAGTGCCTGTGTACGAAGACTCATGGATATTATTATGGGTCGAGCGCTTGTGTTTTACACCTCTGTTATGGACGGCATCCCGCATTGAATTCTTCTGGGTACCCTTGGAGGCGCCGTCGCTACTGGAGGTGAAAAAATACACGTCTGAAACTGATTTCAAAGGTCCAAACCCTTGAACCGTAATAAAGTCCGTAACGAGTTGTGGTCGTACATCGGCACTCTTCCGTAAATTTTAAAATATTTTTTATAAAATTAATGATACTCTGTGTGGAATGATCAACGAAATCTCTATGATATTCCATTCCCTATACAGTGAGATTTTTTCCGAGATTTTTTGGAATTATAAGAAGACGGCAAAGTTAATTAATTTTCCCGGTCCCATAAAATCAGGCGATTTTTCACGTTTACCCTGCACTGAAATTAACATTGATGAATTTAAAGGGATAAGGCTCCATATAGGATGAGATGAGTAATCAATTCACCAATTAAAACTTATTTTATAATTCTATGATTTTTTTACTGAAGTTATGCGCGTGTAACCTCAGGATCCCTTACTTCTGAAACGGACAGTAGTACTGAAATTGATTAGGAAATACTGTTTCATTGCAGTCTGAGCCACAAAGATAAATATAAATAATGATAAAGAAATCACGCTATATTTATGTATTTAAGAGAAATACAATTTAAATAGTTGGTCATAAATAAAAGAATAAATATAATGAATATAATTAATGCTATTCAATTTATCTATCATTACATTCATTTATTAATCAATCACCAACTGTTAAAATTGTATTTAATAAATACGACTCTTTCAGTTAGTCTTGCAGAAATGAATAAATATAACGAATACTACTACTATTTAATATATTTATCATCATACTATTTAATTCATTTAGCATTATATTCATTCATTTATTAATCACTAACTGTCACATTTATATATTATATTATTCATATTTTCTTTCCTACTACCATTACGGTTTTATAGGCTATCTATTCGTCTGCCTTGCCACTCCCACTTCTCTCTTCTGATTTTATCTGCGTTACCATGGGTCGTCTTACTCTTAAGGGGTAACGGAACCCGTCGCACGCAGAGGTTAGGGGTCCCCCCTATCGGTATTGCAGGTTCCCGTGGTTTTTTGGATTTTATACGTGAAAAGTACAAAATCCCATAAAATATAAATGAATAGATATAAATAAATAATAATAGTATGGAAACATTCTACATCATCTTCTAACTCGTAAAAGTACTTCCCTCTTAGAATTGGTGCCCTGTAAAGGAAATGTTACCTCCTGGATACCACCCAATCATCATAAACAAGTTTTTACGAAACTTACGCAACAATAGTACGTTTTTGTACTCAAAATCTCTGTCTTAGACCTCACTCGATCGCTCTCTTCTCATGAAAATAGCCATCGGCTAAGAAAAATCTACAAAAAATCGGTTTTTCTACCATGACATGGCAGTTTCCTATAAATAAAATGGCGTCGGCCTTGCCCTGGTCCCTGCCGTTAAATAATTTGCCATTTTTTTTGCATAAATAAGAAAAGCATGAGAAGAGAGTGATGGGTTCCGCTACTCTCAATACGGGGAAAAAGTTTCATTGATTCTCATTGCATAGAATCCAAGAAAACTTGTTTTTGGTAAACGTTTTTTTGTGGTCGGTTCCGTTACCCCTTAACTGTACCCCATTCGGGCTAGGACTGCAATGGAAACCATGGAAAACCCCAATCGTACAGCCGGCCGATTGTGCAGAGCCCTAATGTGCCCTTCTGTCGCACTTACTAGAGGGGCAGCACATTAGGTCACCACACCGTGCCTACCTTCCGAAATTTTTGGGCAAGGGTGTTCCTAACCGGTCACCCATCTAAGTACTAACCGCGCTAAACGCAGCTGCACTCGGATGTCCGCCGGAGCAACACCTAACTCACCCAACCATTACGGTCGGTTCTGTCACATTTATATCTTTCTTAAATCTTCACCAAATAGTCCTCGTAAAATCCACTCACCACTGATCATTAAAATCCTTAGCCTCAAGTTTCGCTCCAGGAAAGAACTTGAGATCCCCCCTGGTGACGACTTTAGGCTTCCTAATGTTCTCCATACTCCTCTGATTCTTGATCTCCCCTAGGACTGGTGATTTGGGGACTGGGGGTGGCTCGGCAGGTGGTGTCTCTTTCACCTCGATCCTCTTCACCTTCTCCTCGATGCGGTCTAACAAGGCTGTTTCTTCAAGTTGAGCAAACACGTCGTTGTCGTCCTGGGAAGACGCACTCTCCGAATGGTTGAGGGAGTCCGCTGAGGACGTTGGTCTTGACGAATTGCATGCCTCCCCGCAACTGTCGTTGTAGCCCATAGAATCTGGCTGAATCGTCTCGTCCACGTTCATCTTAGAGTTGATGACATCAAGATCTTCCTGGGGGTAGGATACGTTTAGGGATTTTACGGGCATGATGGGGCGATCTAGAATGAATTTTGTAATTCATTTTCTTGAATTTTATTTTTTTATCATTAGTCTACCTAGATTGGTCGCCTGATATTTTATTAGAAAATTTTTTTTATAGAAAATTTATTGAATTAGCTGGATATATAATATTATTTCCTCAAACGTCTTCAAAATTTTTTATAAAATTCTGAATGTTTTGGGAAACTTAAGAAAATTTTTAATTTTATTTTAAAATTGAAAAATTCTAGCTTTTTCTGAAAACATCCGAAAAAATTTACAAAACTTTCTAAAGATTCCAAAAATAAAAAAGAAACTTAGAATATTTCCGGCAAAACACTTAGAGAATCGCAGAAGCTTTCAAAAAACCTTCGAATATTTCGATGTTTAAAAAAAAATCATTGCCATATTTTTGATTCCCTTAAATATTTTTAAGACTTTGAATGGTTCGAAAAATTTCCAATTTTATTTCAAATGTGAAAAAATCCTAGGTTTCCCTACAAAATTCCGAAAGATTTTTTAAGACTTCCTAAAGATTACCAAAACGAAAAAAATCAGAAAAATTCCCTGAAAAACGTTTAAACTGCCAAAATCTGCATATAGCATTCGAAGCCTAGGCAAAATCATGAATATTTGTGCATGTGATTTTTTCATTGCTTTTGTTGGTGACCATGTACTGACTGTTGGAGAAGTTTTTTAATATTTAGAATATTCCCTAAGGAACACTAAAAAAATCAGATTTTGTCAAAAACTTTGAAAAATTCTAAGGTTTAAAAAAAATCATTACATTTTTTTTCCTTCTATCCCTATACAAGACGATGACTTTTCATTCCAAGGAGTCTTTTTCCAATAATTCAATTCGTCAAAAAAAAATCCCCATCATCCTCTCTCCGCCAGACATCCCAACCCCCCCCCCCCCCAAAAAAAAAANCATCTAGAATTTTCCGATGATTTATTTGGAAATGTTGTTTGATTTCGGGGTTTTCTGTGATATTAAATAAATGAAATTAAAAGTTCTGAAGAAAAATCTGAAGTAGAAGAGGGTGGCGTAAAACGGACACTTTAGACTTTTTTAAAATTAGTCATAACTCAGAAACAAATTGATCAATTGAGCTCAGTTTAGGCTCGTCACAAAGGAAAATAATTATTCTTTGTATTAAAAAAAATATATATTAAATTTTATCAAAATTTCAACCCCTCATTAGCATTTAAAAAAAAGTCAAAAGTGTGCGTTTTACCCCAACTGCCCCTATGCCTCGAAGAACACTTTAAAAAATCGCATTTTCTCACATCATTGAAAAATTTTAAGATTAAAAAAATCATTACAATTTTTTTCGATTCTTTCGCTGCGGGAGACGATGACTTTCGGAGACAATGATATACCCGTCAAAACATTCCAAGAGGCCTTTCCTCAACATTTGAATTCCCCAAAAAAAACACCATCAACCGCTCTCCTCCAGACATCCCTCTAAAAACTCCCCCAAAACTGTCCTTAATCGCAAAAATTCTCCTAAAAATCGATGACAACCGAAAAATCCCCTTCAAAACCGCAAAATACATTTCCTTCCAAAATTCCCTGAACCCCCACCATTCCCCCTTCAAAATTCAAGGTCCCATTCCCAAATAGATCATCACCGCGTGCCACACTTGTCTCCAGCCTTCGCGACCCTCGCCGGTAATCACATGTAGCCCCTTTAAAACCAGCTTCCGCAGGAAGTCATCGTCTCAAAATTCGTCTCACCCCCGCGCACGCCGGACACCCAAAACCTGCCACCACCACAGAATAAACCGGGCGTGGATGGCCCCGCACCCTCACGGCTTCACCTCACCAACCCTCCATACATCACCTAGAACTACCCCATAAATGTAACAATTACAATTTTTAACGCGACATTTACGCGCCATTCCCATCAGTCCTGTTAGCACATGCGATCGCCGCGCAATTATTCGTCTTTGTGCCCCCTGCACCCGAAATCCCCGGCCTCTCCAACAAACCGGGCTACCCCAACGAAAAAAAATGATGAAAAAGAATCTCACGTGTGTATCTGCAGTGAAACATTCGATATTCATCGTCAGAGGTGTTGAACAATCAACTGTGAACACTTGGCATTGGGTTTTATCACTCGCGGAGTGTTCCGACGACGAGATACCCTTCCCGGACCATTGTCGCGTCCACCATTCGCTACCCCCCCCCCCCCCCCCCNCCCCGCAACACGGCCCACGGGGAATAACCACAAAACTGTTGAAAAACACAGTAAATCAATCCCTCAATCGTAGAAAACACGGTAATGTCGGTATTTCCAGTGGTTTTGGTATGTTGCACACTCGTTCACTCGCATTTACGTTTCATCAGCACGAGGCACTGGATAGAACAGGCGCAATACTGAATCGATGCATCGCAAGTACTGGGATATATCGAGAGTTCGAGATATATCGATCCCGGTGGAATTCTCCGCTTTTACCTCGTCATTCCATTTTTCTTTAATTTTCCCTCTTTTTTCCATCGAAAAATATTTTGAAATATAATTTTCTACGGTTTTGTTTTATGCAAATGTGGTTTTATGAAAATGTTGAGCATAATTTTTCTGGAATTTCCTACGCATTTTTCAGGCTGGAAGGCGGCTGAATGCTTTGGGATTGGTTACATAAGAAGGGGCGGCCATATTTTATTCGAGCTTTTGAAAACTAGCGGTTACGGTAGAGGGCGAGATGGGTGGTATACTCACATCCGAAAATTGAATGAAATTCCAACCAAAAATTGGTTGATGAAAAAACGTTATGGGCGTGCAAGAGTCAAACGATAAAATGGATGATGAGGAATTTTACTCCCAACTGATCAAATCTTGTGTGAATGTTGGGAGAAAATGAATGAAGAATTCTACGTTAAATTGTTTCAGAGTCCGTAAAACGCGCCTCCAACAGTAGGCGCGTTTCGCAATCGACTTAGTAGCAGTAGCAGTACTGTAACCCTATCTAATTTCGCTTTACTGCAGCTACAGTAGTTGATTCCGAAACGCACCCAGTATAAGAACACAATCTGAACTCTCCGAATGTAAGAAGTGCCTAAAAGCAGCGTTGAAATTAACGAACAATCTGCTTTATCTACACCGCAAGCGGATGACCGTTGGCCGATAAATCAGGTATCGCTATTATCTGGTAGCCTTCAAGTTGGCAACGCTCAATGAATTCAAAGGGTCCGACCAGAGATAATAGGGGAGATTGCTCAGGCTTATGGGAACTGTTCGATAAGAGTTATATAACGGTGGCGCGCATGAATTAAACGAGAGGCCGTCTCTGTGGGTAAAGAAATTTTCATCTATTACCATGGAAACAGTCGATAACAGGGATGGGTTCCCAATCTTAAATCCAACATGAAACCTCCTTTGCATTCACTCATCCGCTTGATTATCCCATTTTCATTCTTACAACTTCTTATTGTCTTAATTTGGAAATTAGTTGATCATAAAGGAGAGGGAGAGAAGGAATTATGAAGTCTTGAGCGAAAGAGGATCTTTTATTTGAATTTCTATACAACTAGATCTTTAATAAAAAAAAAAATACGAGCAATTGATCTTATTCACATTGATTACATATTTTGTCAGTGATACAAAGGTAATGAATGAATTTCAAATTATTTCGATGAGAAATATATTCAATATTTGTGAGAGATTATATCTCAACAAATCTCATACACATAATGGGATTAAATCAATAATAATAGATTAACGAATGAGACTTTTCGCAGATTATTGCGAGATTTAAATGAATGGTTTGCATTCTTCAGTGACCATAAAAAATTGTCTCCAATCGACAATATCTCCCGATGGAATGGAACGATGTGAATGAATCAATTGATACTTAAGTATCAATTTGAATCTTTAAAAAATTAATCGAGAGTGAAAAAAAATCAGGGAATTTAACTCTGCCATTATGGAGTTTTTGACGAGTGAAGTTTATTCACTGTACTCTGACATTTCTCTATTGTCTGTATTTACTGAGAAAAAAAAACGTTGTTCCTAGGAATCGATGTGTCTTTTTTAGGCAGCTGNATTTCTGAAATGCAATGAGCAAGCAATGTTAAAATTAGGTCATTTTGTAAAAAATTTCTAGTGACATGATCCTGAAAATCAAAGGAATGTCTTGAAATCAGGAATGATGTCTGTAAGTTTCAGTAATATTTTCGCTGAAATTCCGGGAACTTATTGGGAATGTTTATAGCGTTGCCGTAATACGAAAATTTCAAGGAATTTCGTCATTGCAAATTAAAAATTTCTATAAATTTCAGTCCAATTATATGTGTACGTCCACGTGAAAAGGGCCCACTTTGTCGCATCTAATTTCCGAGATATTCACGTTTTTCTCTCCTCTCCATTTATCCCAAAGTTAAATTGATTTTTTGATCTTCTATACGGACGTCACACGGAGAAAAATAAATCGGTAAAAGTCTTGTGATCGCAAGGAGTTTCCCGAAGATCCCCATTTTTCATGCACGAAGAACAATGAAGCTTTTTGGAATATTCGGGAAATTCTATTCTATCCTACTCAAGTAGGAGCGGAGGAATGAATGTTCAAAAGTGCGGACTAACCG